TTAATTACGTCCTTAATGTTTTCATTCTGTTTGACCTGTTTTACATATTTAAATATATTTATATATATATGTAACTCACTGCTGTAATGACCTCACTGTAATGACCTTACTGCTGTAATGACCTCACTGTAATGACCTCACTGCTGTAATGACCTCACTGTAATGACCTCACTGTAATGACCTCACTGTAATGACCTCACTGTAATGACCTTACTGCTGTAATGACCTCACTGTAATGACCTCACTGTAATGACCTCACTGCTGTAATGACCTCACTGTAATGACCTCACTGTAATGACCTCACTGTAATGACCTCACTGTAATGACCTTACTGCTGTAATGACCTCACTGTAATGACCTCACTGTAATGACCTCACTGCTGTAATGACCTCACTGTAATGACCTCACTGTAATGACCTCACTGTAATGACCTCACTGTAATGACCTCACTGTAATGACCTCACTGTAATGACCTCACTGTAATGACCTCATTGTAATGACCTCACTGTAATGACCTCACTGTGATTGTATTGTATGTACTTTATTTGAACAGGGACAGTGTACAGTTAAGCATTAACACAAAGGAGAGATGCATGTACCAGGTTATAGCAGAGAAGCTAATTTCCACCTGTAGTCCCTGGGCAGGCTGGTGTTATGTTCATTTAAACTGACTACTATGTAGATGGATACATGACTGTGTCTTACATTTACAGGCTTTAAATAACATCATTCACAAAACATTAAGTTTAAAAACAATAAATACAGCTCCCCAACTTCTACTAGAATATTACCCTCACTCACTCACTCACTCACTCGTGCGTGCAAACTTGCTTTTTCAAAAGCCATTTCTTAGTCAGCCAAGAAAATGTTTTAAATGTAGTACACGCAATGATCTTTGTGGGCAGTGTGTTCCACTGACTCATGGCCGACACAGAAAAAGCAGATTTAGCAAAAGTTGTTCTACATTTTTTGACGCTGCATTCTCCTCTAGAAGTGGATCGAGTGGTTCTGGTCATTTTGTCTGCACTCAATAAAACAAATTTTCTTGAGGAGGTGCACTAACACCATGGATGATTTTAAACAGCAAACAAACATTGTAGTAAAATGGTAGGTTTTCAAAGTTGAGAAAATCATATTTAGAGAGGATGGGACAGTGATGGTACCGCCTGGACTTCTTATCATGTATCTTAAGGGCACACTTGTACAGTGACTCGACAGGTCCCAGAGTGGTTTTACAGCCCTGAGACCAGCTCGAGACACAGTATACACAGTATGAACAGTATACACAGTATACACAGTATACACAGTATACACAGTATGTGACAGGATCATGGAGTTCAGATACAGATGGGACGCCTCAGTGGTGAGTGACCCCTGAATGTATCTGAAGTTGGCCAAATTAAACTTAAGAGTGTAACGGAGTTTCTTTACATGATGTTTGAAGGTCAGGTTTCGATCCAGGGTCACTCCTAAATATGAGAATACATCAACATTTTTAATTTTACTGCCATTAATAACAATATCTGGACAACTGATATGCTTACCTCGGTTTGTAAAATACATTGAAACGGTTTTGTCTGTGTTTAATGTCAGACAGTTTTGACACAGCCAGTCAGCAACATTTTTCATTTCATTTGTTAGTTTTGTGGCCACATCACTTTCGTTTTTGCCGTGAACAAACAACACTGTGTCGTCAGCATACATGATGACATTTGCAGTGCAGACAGAGGGGAGGTCATTTATATAAATGCTAAAAAGCAGAGGCCCCAGAATGGAGCCTTGCGGCACTCCCATGGTGTAGTTTTTGAGTGGAGAGAGGGTGTTGTTCACTCTCACACTCTGCTGTCTGCCACTGAGGTATGACTTCAGCCAGTTTACTGTCTGGTTAGAGAGGTGGAAATGAGTGAGTTTGTTCAGGAGGATGTCATGACTGACTGTGTCAAAAGCTTTTCGGAGGTCGAGGAACACCGCCCCCACCACTCCTCCTTGATCAAGGCTAGATCTAATCTCTTCAGTGAAGTAGCAGCAGGCGGCTTCTGTGGAGTATTTGCTTCTAAAACCAAATTGTAGAGGGTTTAAGAAGCAATGGCTGTCAAAGTGTTCAATAAGCTGCTCTGCTACAACCTTTTCAAAGACTTTGGAGATAGTGGGTAGGATGCTAATGGTGCGGTAGTTGCTGACCTCCTGTTTGTCCCCAGACTTGTACACAGGCGTGACAATGCCAGGTTTCAACGCAGCCGGAAATGTACTGTTACTTATTCACTGGTTTATAGTTTTTGCCAGAGGTAGGCACAGAGTGTCCTTATGTGTTTTTAAAAACAAACTGTCCATCCCATAGATATCTTTTGCTTTACTATTATTTAATTTATTGATACTTTTGATAACTTTTTCTTCATTCACGAGTTTTAATTTAAAAAGGGCTTCTTCATCGACTTGGGGTTGATTATAAAAACATGGTGCACCAGTTTTTGAACTGAATTAATAAAATAGTCATTCAAATGCATTGCCAAAAAAGCACTATCATTTTGAATCTCACCATTTACTTTTAGTTGCATATCCCAATAAGTCCGGCGTTTGCCCAGAAGCTTATCAATATTTCTCCATAAAACTTTACTATTTCCTTTTGCTTCCTTAATTAAATTAAGAAAGAATGTGGCCTTAGCTTTTCTAATTAGTGCCGTTACTTTATTTTGAAGGCTTTTGTAGACCAGGTGGTTAGTTGATACTTTGCTTTTTATAAACATTTTCAAAGCAGCATCTCTTTTCTTCTTTAATTTCCAGAGTTCAGCGTTAAACCAAGGCAGACTCTGCTTCTGTGTCGGATTCCTTTTTTTCCTTTTTGATGACCTCACTGCTGTAATGACCTCACTGTAATGACCTCACTGTGTAATGACCTCACTGTGATGACCTCACTGTGATGACCTCACTGTAATGACCTCACTGTGATGACCTCACTGTGATGACCTCACTGCTGTAATGACCTCACTGTAATGACCTCACTGTGTAATGACCTCACTGTAATGACCTCACTGTAATGACCTCACTGCTGTAATGACCTCACTGTGATGACCTCACTGCTGTAATGACCTCACTGTAATGACCTCACTGTGATGACCTCACTGTGTAATGACCTCACTGTAATGACCTCACTGTGTAATGACCTCACTGTAATGACCTCACTGTGTAATTACCTCACTGTAATGACCTCACTGTAATGACCTCACTGCTGTAATGACCTCACTGTAATGACCTCACTGTGTAATGACCTCATTGTAATGACCTCACTGTAATGACCTCACTGCTGTAATGACCTCACTGTGATGACCTCACTGTGTAATGACCTCACTGTGATGACCTCACTGCTGTAATGACCTCACTGTAATGACCTCACTGTAATGACCTCACTGTGTAATGACCTCACTGTGATGACCTCACTGTGATGACCTCACTGCTGTAATGACCTCACTGTAATGACCTCACTGTAATGACCTCACTGTGATGACCTCACTGCTGTAATGACCTCACTGTAATGACCTCACTGTGTAATGACCTCACTGTAATGACCTCACTGTAATGACCTCACTGCTGTAATGACCTCACTGTAATGACCTCACTGTGTAATGACCTCACTGTAATGACCTCACTGTGTAATGACCTCACTGTGATGACCTCACTGCTGTAATGACCTCACTGTAATGACCTCACTGTAATGACCTCACTGTGTAATGACCTCACTGTAATGACCTCACTGTGTAATGACCTCACTGTGATGACCTCACTGTAATGACCTCACTGTGATGACCTCACTGCTATAATGACCTCACTGTGTAATGACCTCACTGTAATGACCTCACTGTGTAATGACCTCACTGTGATGACCTCACTGCTGTAATGACCTCACTGTAATGACCTCACTGTAATGACCTCACTGCTGTAATGACCTCACTGTAATGACCTCACTGTGATGACCTCACTGCTGTAATGACCTCACTGTAATGACCTCACTGTGTAATGACCTCACTGTAATGACCTCACTGTCGGGCGGCACGGTGGCTGAGTGGATAGCACTCTCGCCTCTCAGCAAGAAGGTCCTGGGTTCGAATCCCGGCCGGACCAGGGCCTTTCTGAGTGGAGTTTGCATGTTCTCCCCGTGTCTGCGTAGGTTTCCTCCGGGTACTCCGGTTTCCCCTACCACTAAAAATATGTACAATAGGTCTGGCCTGCGCCTTCTGTTCGGCGACCCCGCTCCCATCTCTGTGTGGAGTGAGAGGACAAGTGCCCAAAAAATAACAATTGTAAACCGCTTTGTGACTCTGGTCTGTGAAAGGCGGTATATAAATAAAGCTTACTTACTTACTTACTTACTTACTGTAATGACCTCACTGTAATGACCTCACTGCTGTAATGACCTCACTGTAATGACCTCACTGTGTAATGACCTCACTGCTGTAATGATGACCTCACTGTGATGACCTCACTGTAATGACCTCACTGCTGTAATGACCTCACTGCTATGATGACCTCACTATGATGACCTCACTGTAATGACCTCACTGTAATGACCTCACTGCTATGATGACCTCAATGTAATGACCTCACTGTAATGACCTAATAATGACCTCACTGTGATGACGTCACTGTGATGACGTCACTGTGATGACGTCACTGTTGTGCGCAATTGTATTTTTTACTGTATTGTGTTGTATTGATGTGATTTCTTTCAGATTTCTGTCTTTGACGATTGTTGTAAATTGGAAATGATAAAACTTGGAGGATATTTTTTTTATAAAGTCTGTCTTTGTTTTTATTGAACTTTATTGAACATTTCAAACACAGTAGTGCTAAGGCATATCCGGCTGAGGAGAAACATAATCCATGAAGCAGTGAAAAATGAACACATTATAAATAGAGTAACAACCACAAATAGATAAATAGATTAAAATAATGCTTTATGGATACAGTCTATCTTGTCTTATCTAATCTTTATCTGATGACGTCAGATGAGAGAACACGGGGCAGAGGCTCAGCCAATGGGGGCGAGGCTTATCTCTGCGCGCGCACTTTGCGGAAGTACAGGACAACAGAGCACCGCGGAACAGAAGCATGGAGCAGGTCACTCTCTCCGCAGCTGCAGGAGGCGGAAAGAGGCGGGATCTGATACGAGGGCGGAACGGTTGGTGGAGAGCGGAGACGCTGTAGTGTCAGCAAGTCGTAAATCTTACTAAACTATCCACTCAGTTTGAGCTTTGAGTGCTTGCTTGTATAAACTTTTGGATGGCCTGTTCCTCGGGAGGTGGAGGAAGGGGTATTCAGGAAGGGGATAAAAGTAAAACTGGGGCTAGGAAGCGTGGTGCAGACGCCTCACTTGGAAGAGACGGAGTTCCTGTAATGAAAATGGCAAAGTCAATTGAAGAGTTTCGAGTTATCTTTAAGTTAAAAGAACAAATTGGGGACGGGTTTAGAGGCTTATTTCCATTAAAAGTGGCCGAGGCATTTAAAAGTGTTGGGGAGGGCGTGGATGCCCGCGCTCTGTCGAATGGAGCATTGCTGGTCCTGTGTAAAAGCAAGGAGCAGATGGGGAAAGTGGCTAAGATAGCGAAGATTTCCGGGAAAAAAGTGGAGGCACAGATGGTGGAGAAACAGGAAGTTATTCAGGGCGTCATCTATGGTGTATATGCTGAAGTTTTGGAGTGTGAAATAAAGGAAAGTATTAGGGCTGTCCAAAATAGCGCGTTATTAACGCGTTAACGCAAATCAATATTAACGCCGTCATTTTTTTTATCGCGCGATTAAAAAAAAAAAAAAAAAAAGATTATTTTTTTTTTTTTTTTTTTTTTTTTTTTTTACTTTTTATTGCAGACAAACACATATACAGAAAAAAAAATAGAAACAAAGAAAAGGACTAGTTCAGATACATTGTAGACAGAGATTACAAACAATATGTAGTTGGAGATACAGGGGGCCAAAGAAGAAACCCAGAAGGGCACATAGGAGGGGAGGGGGGGCATGAAGTGGGAGATGGGGGGAGGGGTTAATAAAAAAGGCAATACAAGCAAACAGTATACAGTCATAGATATACCGAAGGTAAACAGAGAAACAGCATAGAGTATTTACATGAACAAATTTACAAAATATTTACAGATTGTTTATCATCATCATAATGACACCATGATGTTTCTATACAGTCTATGGTCTATACCCACACATACACACACACACACCCACACACACACATTGAAGGGGCTTTTTGTTACCAATTATTTATTTTGTCATCCATTTATTGATGATTTTGCATCAAATGTTAGTGTGTAATATAACACTACACATTGTTTTCAATAAAAAAAGCAATTGCACACAGCACGCAAATAGTAAGTAAGTTAGTACGTTTTTATTTATATACCGCCTTTTCTCTGCAGATCTGAGTCTCAAAGCGGTTTACAATTGTTAATTATGGGCAATTGTCTCTCACTCCACACAGAGATGGGAGCGGGGTCGCCAGTACAGGAGGCGAATGCCAGAACTATTGGACATATTTTTAGTGGTAGGGGAAACCGGAGTACCCGGAGGAAACCTACGCAGACACGGGGAGAACATGCAAACTCCACTCAGAAAGGCCTGGTCCGACCGGGATTCGAACCCAGGACCTTCTTGCTGAGAGGCGAGAGTGCTATCCACTCAGCCACCGTGCCGCAAATGTGTGACTAATTTGCGATTAATCGCGAGTTAACTATGAAATTCATGCGATTAATCACGATTAAATATTTTAATCGTTGGACAGCACTAGAAAGTATCAAAGGTGGGACTGTGTGTGAAGTTAAACGGTTTAAAGCTCGCGAAGGCGGAAACCCCAATGCTCCAGTTTTGATCACGTTTAGTGGTAATGTCTTGCCAGAAAGGGTGTTTATTGGTTGTTTGTCATTTCCGGTTAGAAGTTATCAGAGACCCCCGATGCGATGCTTCAAGTGCCAGCGGTTTGGACATTTGGCTGCTTCATGTCGCGGTAATAGGCGGTGTACCAAGTGTGGAGGAGAGCACAATATTGCGTCCTGTAGTGTGCCGTCTCCAAAATGCTGTAATTGTGGAGGCTGTCATATGGCATCCTCTAAGGATTGCGCGGTGTTTGCAAAAGCAAAGCGCGTACAAGAGGTGAAAGAGCAACACAAGATCTCTTATGCAGAAGCCATGAAAAAGGTGGAGGGAAAGCCTCAGGCCCAGGCTGTAGATATGGCTCCTCCAAATGCTTCAAAACGACGAATAGAGACGCATGGCAGCCCTAATCAGGATTTGGTAGTAAATAAGGAGTCACTTATGGCATTCATTGTCGATGTTGTGTATGGATCCCTTGGTAAAAAGTCAAGATCTAATCAAGTGGGTGGTTGAGTCTGCTGGCAGATTTTTGGGGCTTAAAGACTATGCTCCCCAGTTGCTGTTCGGCTACATGAAGGAGGTTCAGGAGGCTCAGGGGGCTCAAAACCAGTCATCGAGCCAGTCCAGCACCGGCAGTGGGGCAGGAGATGGAGTCGAGGAAGAAGAAATTAATATGGAGGAAGGGGGGCTTGAAGCCTTCTTTGGGGGGATTTAGCGTAATCTCCCATGGTCCGCATCCTACAATGGAATGCTAGGAGCCTTATCGCCAATGGGAAAGAGTTTAAGAAGTTTATCAGGGATCTTGATGTGAAACCAGATATTGTGTGTGTCCAAGAGACGTGGCTGAAATCGTGTCTAGATTTCTCAATTCCGGGATATGAGTGTTTGCGTAAGGATCGAGGCGATAGGTCTGGTGGTGGGTGTGCTACATTTATTAGAGTGGGTATTCAGTATAAACAATGTGACTGTAAAGTCTCTTTGGAGTGTTTAATCACTGAGGTGTGGAGCACTGAGGGTAAAATATTTGTGGTGAATTGTTATAACCTGTGTAAGCCTCTGATTTTGGCAGAGTTTGATGAAATTGAGAGGAGGACAGGTCCCTCTGCTGTGTGGGTGGGTGATTTTAATGCCCATAACCCTCTGTGGGGGAGCCAGGAAAGGGACGCAAATGGGGGTGTGGTAGAGGAATTTTTGAATAGAAGTAATTTTATAATCTTGAATGATGGAAGCTCAACTCGGATTGATATAAATACAAACAAGACTTCTTGTCTTGATCTCATTTTTACATGCCCGGCACTGGCCAGGTTAGCAGAGTGGGGAGTTTGGGGCGAAGATACATTTGGTAGTGATCACTTTCCTGTTATGGCAATTTTTAATAGAGCACTTGTGGTGGAATCTTCAGGTACACCACCTAGGTTGGATTTCTCCCGGGCTGATTGGAACAAGTTCAGGGAAGGTACTAATGAGGGGTTGGCAGGGGTGGATAGTAATGGCTCTATAGATAACATGTGTAACTCTTTGTCAGCTATGATCCTAAGGGTAGCTTCAGAGTCTATCCCAAGTAGAAGGTTCCCCCGTGATCGAATAATTGTCCCATGGTGGAACAAGGAATGTTCTACGGCAGTAAGTAATAGAAGGAAAGCTTTTAAAAAGTTAAGGATGCATCCTATCCAGGAAAATGTTATTGATTTTAAAAGGTGTAGGGCTTTAGCTCGGAAGACTATCAAGGAGGCAAAAAAGAAATGCTGGAGGGAGTACTGTAGTACGTTGGGCCCTAAAACCCCAGTTAAACAAATCTGGTCTAGGATTCATAGAATGGTAGGGAAAAGGACCAATACTGGTGACCTGTGTTAAAGAATGGGAATATAGAAGCTATTTCTAGCAAAGAAAAAGCAAATATGTGTGTAGAAGTATTTCAAGATGTCCATAACTCAAAGTTTTTAAGGGATGAAAGTCTTAGAATTAGAAATGAAGTTTTGCAAGATAACAAGTGGAAGTTAACATGCAGTGAGGATGCAAACAGTGCTTTTAATGTGTATTTTTCTTTTAAGGAGCTTAAGGAGGCAGTAGACGCTGGGGCTAATACTTCACCCGGACAAGATGAGATAAGTTATTAGCTTTTACAGCAGCTGGATGATCCAGTGCTTGAAGAGATCTTGGTCTTGTTTAACTACATTTGGGAAGCTGGGTCGCTACCCAAGGTTTGGAAACATGCTGTCATAATTCCTATCCTGAAGCCAGGAAAGGACCCATCCTCTCCGTCGTCTTACAGACCCATAGCATTGACTTCAGTGCTGTGTAAGGTGATGGAGAGGATGGTCACTAATAGACTTATGTATTCTTTAGAAGTTACTGGGTTTTTTGTGAATTACCAAAACGGTTTTAGGGTTGGTAGAAATGCCATGGACTCTGTTGCAGTATTGGATCAGGATATTCGAAAGGCAGTGATTGACAAGGAGGCTGTGGTGGCAGTTTTCCTTGACATAGAAAAGGCTGATGACAGTATGTGGCGGGAGGGTTTGCTGTTTAAACTTTTTGATGCCGGTATTAGGGGAAGGATGTTCCTATGGATTAAAGATTTCCTTAACGGTAGAACAATACAGGTTAAAATAGAAAGCAAATTCTCCAAAACGGCTAGTATTTTGAATGGTACACCTCAAGGATCTGTAATTAGCCCGGTTTTATTTGATGTAATGATAAATAGTATCTTTCAGTGTGTCGATGCAGCTTTTGGGAAATCCCTTTATGCAGACGACGGCGCTATTTGGCGTAGGGGTAAAAATTTAGAATATTTAATTAAGCAAACTCAGGTAGCCTTGGATCAAATAGTATGCTGGGCAGACACGTGGGGTTTTAAAATTTCAGCATCTAAAAGTAATTACATGATATTTGGTCTAAAAAAGAAATTGCCCCAAAGGTCTTTGTATTTATATGGTAACCAGTTAGAAAAGGTAAATGTGTTCAAATTCCTTAGAATGTGGATGGATGAGAGGCTGACCTGGAATAGGCATATTGAAAAGACTGTTGGGAAGTGTGAAAAAGTAATTAATGTTCTTCGTAGTTTGGCTGGCAGTGACTGGGGAGCAGATCGATCAACTCTGCTTATGATCTATAGAGCAATGATAAGATCAACATTGGACTATGGTTGTTTTGTATTTGGTGCTGCGGCTAAAACTGTATTAATAAAGCTGGACAGAGTTCAAGCAAAAGCCCTCAGAGTCTGCAGTGGAGCGTTTAGAACCACACCCATACCTGCGCTATTGGTTGAAATGGGGGAAACATCTTTAAATATTAGAAGGCAGAAGCTGGGACTCCAGTACTGGGCCAGACTAGCAGGACTTCAGCATAATTCTGCGGCCAAGTGCCTCTTGGAGGACTGCTGGGAATTTGTAAAGAGGGAGGGAAAGGCGAGTTTTCTAAGATCTATCGGGCAGTTGGCTAGTAAGGTGGGCCTGGAGAATGGGAATGTTGCTGCATCAGTGTGGTCCCCTTTTCCAGTCTGGCTTTTGCCAGAACCAGAGGTCCAATTGGACCTGCTTGGGCTGGACAAAGGTCGTGTTAGTGGCCAAATAAATGAGTTTGTGGCTCTTAATAAGGAAACTTCTTACCACATTTTTACAGATGGGTCTAAGGACCCAAGCTCAGGAAAAACTGGTTTTGGAGTCTACATTATGAATAATGAAAGTAGAAAAAGTATGCGAGTGTCTGATCATGTCTCTGTGTTCACTACTGAGCTGTTAGCCATTTGGTGGGCGGTAGATTGGGTTGAGAGAAATCAGCCTGAAACGGCGTATATTTATTCTGATTCTATGGCTGCCTTACAGGCAATTTCGGACGGTCCCTCTGGGGCTAGGGCAGATATTGTGCTGGAGATTTTGTGTTGCCTTCGCCGGATAGAGCTGATGGGGTTTAGTATTGTTTTTTCCTGGATCCCATCTCACTCAGGAATAGTGGGGAATGAAGCTGCTGATACATTAGCTAAGGAGGCACTTCTCGAGACAGAAATCGAATATGTGGTCCGGTTGGGGAAGGCTGAGTGTGTCAGTATTTTTAAAACTGCTATGCACCAACAATGGCAGAGGGAGTGGGAGAATGAGACGAGAGGGAGACACTATTTTTGGTGTCAACCTCTAGTGCAGGGTAGTAGACTCCTGTGGTACACCTGCCGATCAAACCAAGTTAAAATAACCAGATTAAGACTGGGGCATTGTGGGCTTGCTGCATATTTGTATACAATGGGCAAGCATCCAGACGGGCTGTGTCAGTGTGGTCAGTTGGAGACTATTCCACATGTGTTGCTGTCGTGCACCTGTTATTCTGTGGAAAGGGGAATGTTATTTAAAGACCTTGCAACCCTTGGGCTTACTGTGTTTTCAATAAGATCGATTTTTTCGTGTAGGCCAAACTCGCGTTTAATAGATAGGGCGGTTGTGAGCTATCTTCTCTCCACCAACCTCTACTCAAGAATCTGAAGTAAAGTGAAGTGAGTTGAGTGAACAGAAGAGGGCAGCATTACGCTTTGCTAGCGTACAGCCTGCCGCAAACCATTAGAAGAAGAAGAAGCATGGAGCAGAATGCTGGTCCAAAAGTCCTGATCCCCCGGCTGCCCCGGATGCCCTTCCCTCAGAGGACTTTCAGAACCTTCAAGACTCCATCTGACCAACTCGCGGACAAACGCTCGCGAGATCGCACTCGAGTTTACATCGGAGAATGTGTGGAAAGATGGAAACAGATCAAAGAGACGCAGCGCTTCAAGAGCGACGAGCAGATGGCCACGCTGCTCTTAGACAGGTAACTATTATCATAGAGTAACGTGAGACAGGTAACTATTATCATAGAGTAACGTGAGACAGGTAACTATTATCATAGAGTAACGTGAGACAGGTAACTATTATCACAGAGTAACGTGAGACAGGTAACTATCATCAGAGTAACGTGAGACAGGTAACTATCATCAGAGTAACGTGAGACAGGTAACTATCATCACAGAGTAACGTGAGACAGGTAACTATCATCAGAGTAACGTGAGACAGGTAACTATTATCACAGAGTAACGTGAGACAGGTAACTATCATCAGAGTAACGTGAGACAGGTAACTATCATCACAGAGTAACGTGAGACAGGTAACTATTATCATAGAGTAACGTGAGACAGGTAACTATCATCACAGAGTAACGTGAGACAGGTAACTATTATCATAGAGTAACGTGAGACAGGTAACTATCATCACAGAGTAACGTGAGACAGGTAACTATCATCACAGAGTAACGTGAGACAGGTAACTATTATCATAGAGCAGCCATTCCCAAACTCAGTAACACCGAGGCCCCCTTAAAAATCTGACGGGTCTGCGTGGCCCCCCAAAATAATAACCAAGAAGACAACATTAAGAATAGGCTCTACTGGTTATTTTATTTTGGGGAAATAGCCTCTGCTACAAACACTATAATACAAAAATGATTACAGTGGATTATTCAAGTCAAATAATGAACACAAATATTTTAATATTACAAACAAAACATTATAAATTTAACATTAAATAATTCTATTATTTTTTTATTTTTCTTATGACCTCCCGCGGCCCCCCTGCAGTACCCTCGCGGCCCACCAGGGGGCCGCGGACCCCACTTTGGGAGACACTGTCATAGAGTAACGTGAGACAGGTAACAATCATCACAGAGTAACGTGAGACAGGTAACAATCATCACAGAGTAACGTGAGACAGGTAACTATCATCACAGAGTAACGTGAGACAGGTAACTATCATCACAGAGTAACGTGAGACAGGTAACTATCATCACAGAGTAACGTGAGACAGGTAACTATTATCACAGAGTAACGTGAGACAGGTAACTATTATCATAGAGTAACGTGAGACAGGTAACTATCATCACAGAGTAACGTGAGACAGGTAACAATCATCAGAGTAACGTGAGACAGGTAACAATCATCACAGAGTAACGTGAGACAGGTAACTATTATCACAGAGTAACGTGAGACAGGTAACTATTATCACAGAGTAACGTGAGACAGGTAACTATTATCACAGAGTAACGTGAGACAGGTAACTATCATCACAGAGTAACGTGAGACAGGTAACAATCATCAGAGTAACGTGAGACAGGTAACAATCATCACAGAGTAACGTGAGACAGGTAACTATTATCACAGAGTAACGTGAGACAGGTAACTATTATCACAGAGTAACGTGAGACAGGTAACTATTATCACAGAGTAACGTGAGACAGGTAACTATTATCACAGAGTAACGTGAGACAGGTAACTATCATCAGAGTAACGTGAGACAGGTAACTATCATCACAGAGTAACTGACCTCACAGAGTAACTGACATCAGAGTTACTGACCTCGCAGAGTAACTGACCTCACAGAGTAACTGACCTCACACAGTGTAACTGACATCACAGAGTAACTGACATCACAGAGTAACTGACATCACAGAGTAACTGACATCACAGAGTAATTGACATCAGATTCAGATTCATTTTATTCGCCATTTGCAGTAACACTACATTGGAATACATTAGTAAAAGTTCCCAGTGTGCACAGGACAAGTACAGACATAAAACAACATTAAAAGACAAAAATAAAACAAATTTTAAAAGCAGTAAACAAATGTCACTGTGAAGTTGACCAACTAAAACAGATCTATACAAGTGCAAAAACACTAAAGTGCTCTATTCAAACTGATAACAGCTCGTGGAAAAAAACTATTAGCGTAACGAGATGTCCTGCATCTCAGAGAGCGATATCTTCTGCCAGAGGGAAGAAGCTGGAACATGGCTTTCCCAGGGTGGCCAGAAGAGTCATTAACAATCCTAAGAGCTTTGTTTAAAAGTGTGGATTTATAAAGAACCTCCAGAACAGGAAGCTCACAGCCCACGGTCCTCTTTGCAGAGCGGAGCACCTTGTTTAAAGCTCTCTTTTCGTTATCTGTGATGTTTCCAAACCACACAGACACAGAACCAACAAGTAAACTCTCAATGGTGCAGCCATAAAAGTTAAGCACAATCTTAGAGTTAGTGGTAAATTCTCTAAGTTTACGCAGAAAGTAGAGACGCTGACGAGCTTTCTTAACGACTCGGTCAGTGTTTTTAACCCATTTCAGGTTAGACAGAGTTAAACCCAAAAACTTGCTCCTCTACGATCTGCACCTGGGAGTTGTCGATTACGACAGGCAAATGAGAACTATTGCGACTGAAGTCGTGACCAGTTCACATGTTTTGGATGCGTTCAACTGGAGGTTGTTAGTTTGACTCCACTGAACCACATTTTGTATCTCTGCTCTATAAGAGGATTCATCAGTGTCACTGTTGAGACCGATGATGGTGGTGTCATCAGCATATTTGATGATCAAGTTTGAGTCAGAGGAGGACACACAATCGTGAGTGTACAAAGTAAAAAGCAAAGGACTCAAAATACATCCCTGAGGAGAACCAGTGCTCACAGAAACAACATCAGAAAAACACTCTCTGAGATCTGTCAGTTAAAAAGCTAAAAATCCATTTACACTTGGCAACACTTAAACCCAGAGACATGAGCTTTTCAATCAGTTTACCTGGGACAGGGCAGTTAACCTGGGACAAGGCAGTTTACCTGGGACAAGGCAGTTAAAAGCAGAGCTATAATGGATGAAAAGCATTCTGGCCACAGATTTACTAGTGTCCAAGTGACTGTAGACAGAGTTCAGAGCAAAGGAGATGCATCCTCCACACTCCTGTTCTGTCTGTAGCAAACTGGAGCGGGTCAACACTCACAGGGATCTGGCTCTTAATGAAGTCCAGCACAAGCCGCTCAAAAGTTTTCATAAGAACAGACGTGAGGGCCACAGGACGATAGTCATTCAGGCATGTCACAGGAGTTTTCTTAGGAACTGGAATGATGGTGGACTCTTTAAAGCAGTTCGGCACAGTACAGTTCCTTAGCGACAGGTTGAAAATGTCTGTTAGCACAGGGGCAAGTTGCTCAGAGCACAGTTTCAGGACACGAGGAGGGATGCCGTCCGGGCCTGGGGCTTTCCGGACTGTGGTCCTGGACAAGACACGCCTGACTTCCTCCTGAGTCACGGTGAAGGTACCTTGATTGAAACACTCAGGGAATACAGTAGGACAGGCATCAGCGGATTCAAAGCGACAGTAGAACGTGTTCAGCTCGTTTGGCAGAGCTTGGCCGACAGATGCAGTTTTCCCAGCACTAGGTTTCCACGATGTGATGGCTTTAATACCGTTCCACATGCGCCGAGGGTCATCTTCCTCAAAATAACTCTTTAACCTGTCCCCGTAACTGCGCTTTGCAGATTTAATAGAACGTTTCAATGAGTAACAGGATAGCTTATAAGCAACTGTATCATTTGATTGAAACGCCAGAGCACGCTCATGAAGTTTCAGTTTCACTTCCGCGTTCATCCAAGGGTTTTGACTAAAATGTTCTTTAATGACCTTCTGTGGGACACAGCAGTCAATACAGAAGCGTATGTATCCAGACACAGCGTCACAGAATTCATTAACATCCTCTGACTGAAACACAGACCAGTCAGTGGCATCAAAACACCCTTGTAGCTTCATGCTAGCCTCCTCAGACCAACACTGCACAGTGCGAGAGGTTGGTTTATGTTCCCTGCTCCTCTGAGTATACGAAGGAAGAAGGAGAACAGAGGAGTGGTCAGACTTTCCAAAAGGAGGTCTGAGACTGGACCTGTAAGCTCCCTTCACGTTACTGTAGCAGTGATCCAGGATCTGTGCTCCTCTTGTAGCTCGAGTCACATGTTGGTAAAAGTTCGGGAGTACAGTCTTTAAATGACATTTGTTAAAATCCCCAGCAACAATAATCACTGCGTTAGGATGAGCAGTCTCGTATTTATGAAGGATCTCGCTCAGATCCTGTAGTGCTACAGTATAGTCCGCTCGTGGGTGGATGTAAACAGCGCATAAAAATATCACAGAAAACTCCCGCGGAAGATAAAAAGGGCGACAGCTCAAGACCAGGCATTCCAGATTGGCAGTACATGTTTGGTTCACGACTCGAGTATCCGTGCACCAGCGCTGATTAATTAAAAAGCACACACCTCCGCCTCTGGCCTTAGCCGTGGTCTCCTTCACTCTGTCCGAGCGGTGAGCGGTGAATCCCGGGGGCTGAACAGCAGAGTCCGGGACGTTCGAGTGGAGCCACGTCTCACTGAGACAGAACACAGCGCAGTCTCGGGCCTCGCGCTGGCTCTGGACCCGACACAGGAGCTCGTCCGTCTTGTTGGGCAGAGACTGGACGTTGGCCAGGTAGATGGAGGGCAAAGGGGTCCTGGAGGAGCGGCATCTCACGAGCAGACCGCCTCGTTTTCCCCGGTGTCTGCGCCTCCTACGTCGGCTCCCGGTACCCAGCTCCACACCGCGGAGAGCGCGGTGGAGACGCCCAGTCCCCCCGCTCTGTTCGCGGCCATTGCCGCGGCCCGCCTGCCGTGTTTGACGGGCCTCACGAGTGGGGCACTCAATGAAGTCCAAGCACCTCAGTTCGGGTAAGACCTGCGATACTCCGCAAGCTCGGTCCCGAATGTAGAGAAGTGTCTCTCGGTCGTACCTCACGGTGGCAAGTGTATCACAGACGAATATAAACAACATAGAAGTGCTCTGCAGAGGAAATGATCGGCCGCAGCCTTCCATCGCTGCAGGACCTGTACGTCGCCCGAGCTCGAGGCCGGGCTGGTCGTATCACAGCCGACCCCTCTCACCTGCACATGGACTATTCCAACCACTCCCCTCTCACCTGCACATGGACTATTCCAACCACTCCCCTCTCACCTGCACATGGACTATTCCAACCACTCCCCTCTCACCTGCACATGGACTATTCCAACCACTCCCCTCTCACCTGCACATGGACTATTCCAACCACTCCCCTCTCACCTGCACATGGACTATTCCAACCACTCCCCTCTCACCTGCACATGGACTATTCAAACCACTCCCCTCTCACCTGCACATGGACTATTCCAACCACTCCCCTCTCACCCTGCACATGGACTATTCCAACCACTCCCCTCTCACCTGCACATGGACTATTCCAACCACTCCCCTCTCACCTGCACATGGACTATTCCAACCACTCCCCTCTCACCTGCACATGGACTATTCCAACCACTCCCCTCTCACCTGCACATGGACTATTCCAACCACTCCCCTCTCACCTGCACATGGACTATTCCAACCACTCCCCTCTCACCTGCACATGGACTATTCCAACCACTCCCCTCTCACCTGCACATGGACTATTCCAACCACTCCCCTCTCACCTGCACATGGACTATTCCAACCACTCCCCTCTCACCTGCACATGGACTATTCCAACCACTCCCCTCTCACCTGCACATGGACTATTCCAACCACTCCCCTCTCACCTGCACATGGACTATTCCAACCACTCCCCTCTCTCACCCTGCTCATGGACTATTCCAACCACTCCCCTCTCACCTGCACATGGACTATTCCAACCACTCCCCTCTCACCTGCACATGGACTATTCCAACCACTCCCCTCTCACCTGCACATGGACTATTCCAACCACTCCCCTCTCACCTGCACATGGACTATTCCAACCACTCCCCTCAGGCAGGAGGCTGCGGTCCATCAGGACTAGAACCTCCCGCCACAAGAACAGTTTCTTCCCCTCTGCTGTTGGACTCTTGAACACTTCTTAACCTGTCCCCCGCCCTTTATAAAGTCACTTTACTGCCCATCATACGTCACTTTACTTCACTGTACTGCTGTCACCTTACATTGTGTGCACCATGTGCACTTGTATATTGTAAATAGTAACTGTAACTCTATTTTAAATTTAAATTTATTCTTTAGAAGTGTTTTTTATTCTTATTTTTATTATCTCTTTCTGACTGTTGCACTGAGCCAAAGCAATTTCCAAGTCTGTGACCTCCTGTTACTTACGTGGCAATAAAAATGATTCTGATTCTGATTCTGATTCTGATTCTGATAGAACAGACAGTGCACACCAGAGCTCTTACTGAGGCGCCCTGACCCGGCGCCATCATCTTGCACAAGGCAGGGCTTCACAGAGTAACTGACCTCACAGAGTCTTTGATGTTTCTTTTGATGTTTGTAAAAGTAACTTGTTTTAAAGTAGTTAGTGCTGCAGTATTTTTGTTACTTTCTTTTTTAGTTACCAGAAGTTTCTGGACCTTTCATCTCAGAGACCTGTGATCAGACCAGTGAGTGCACCTCCTCTTCCTCCTCCCTCAGACCGGTGAGTGCACCTCCTCTTCCTCCTCCCTCAGACCAGTGAGTGCACCTCCTCTTCCTCCTCCCTCAGACCAGTGAGTGCACCTCCTCTTCCTCCTCCCTCAGACCAGTGAGTGCACCTCCTCTTCCTCCTCCCTCAGACCAGTGAGTGCACCTCCTCTTCCTCCTCCCTCAGACCAGTGAGTGCACCTCCTCTTCCTCCTCCCTCAGACCAGTGAGTGCACCTCCTCTTCCTCCTCCCTCAGACCAGTGAGTGCACCTCCTCTTCCTCCTCCCTCAGACCAGTGAGTGCACCTCCTCTTCCTCCTCCCTCAGACCAGTGAGTGCACCTCCTCTTCCTCCTCCCTCAGACCAGTGAGTGCACCTCCTCTTCCTCCTCCCTCAGACCAGTGAGTGCACCTCCTCTTCCTCCTCCCTCAGACCAGTGAGTGCACCTCCTCTTCCTCCTCCCTCAGACCAGTGAGTGCACCTCCTCTTCCTCCTCCCTCAGACCAGTGAGTGCACCTCCTCTTCCTCCTCCCTCAGACCAGTGAGTGCACCTCCTCTTCCTCCTCCCTCAGACCAGTGAGTGCACCTCCTCTTCCTCCTCCCTCAGACCAGTGAGTGCACCTCCTCTTCCTCCTCCCTCAGACCAGTGAGTGCACCTCCTCTTCCTCCTCCCTCAGACCAGTGAGTGCACCTCCTCTTCCTCCTCCCTCAGACCAGTGAGTGCACCTCCTCTTCCTCCTCCCTCAGACCAGTGAGTGCACCTCCTCTTCCTCCTCCCTCAGACCAGTGAGTGCACCTCCTCTTCCTCCTCCCTCAGACCAGTGAGTGCACCTCCTCTTCCTCCTCCCTCAGACCAGTGAGTGCACCTCCTCTTCCTCCTCCCTCAGACCAGTGAGTGCACCTCCTCCTCCTCCCTCAGACCAGTGAGTGCTCCTCCTCCTCCCTCAGACCAGTGAGTGCACCTCCTCCTCCCTCAGACCAGTGAGTGCACCTCCTCTTCCTCCAGCATCAAACCAGTGAGTGCACCTCCTCCTCCTCCCTCAGACCAGTGAATGCACCTCCACCTCCCTCAGACCAGTGAGTGCACCTCCACCTCCCTCAGACCAGTGAGTGCACCTCCTCTTCCTCCTCCCTCAGACCAGTGAGTGCACCTCCTCTTCCTCCTCCCTCAGACCAGTGAATGCACCTCCTCTTCCTCCTCCCTCAGACCAGTGAATGCACCTCCTCCTCCTCCAGCATCAAACCAGTGAGTGCACCTCCTCCTCCTCCCTCAGACCAGTGAGTGCACCTCCTCCTCCTCCCTCAGACCAGTGAGTGCACCTCCTCTTCCTCCTCCCTCAGACCAGTGAGTGCACCTCCTCTTCCTCCTCCCTCAGACCAGTGAGTGCACCTCCTCCCTCAGACCAGTGAATGCACCTCCTCTTCCTCCTCCCTCAGACCAGTGAATGCACCTCCTCCTCCTCCAGCATCAAACCAGTGAGTGCACCTCCTCCTCCTCCCTCAGACCAGTGAGTGCACCTCCTCCTCCTCCCTCAGACCAGTGAGTGCACCTCCTCTTCCTCCTCCCTCAGACCAGTGAATGCACCTCCTCCTCCTCCTCCAGCATCAAACCAGTGAGTGCACCTCCTCCTCCTCACTCAGACCAGTGAGTGCACCTCCTTTTCCTCCTCCCTCAGACCAGTGAGTGCACCTCCTCTTCCTCCTCCCTCAGACCAGTGAATGCACCTCCTCTTCCTCCAGCATCAAACCAGTGAGTGCACCTCCTCCTCCTCCCTCAGACCAGTGAATGCACCTCCTCCTCCTCCCTCAGACCAGTGAGTGCACCTCCTCTTCCTCCTCCCTCAGACCAGTGAGTGCACCTCCTCCTCCTCCCTCAGACCAGTGAATGCACCTCCTCCTCCTCCCTCAGACCAGTGAGTGCACCTCCTCTTCCTCCTCCCTCAGACCAGTGAGTGCATCTCCACCTCCTCCTCCTGGTGTAATATTACAGTGTGCTCCTGTAACAGGTGTCCTGCCTGTGGCTTTGTCTTCACGACTCAGATCAGAGAAGAAGAAATCGAAGTCACGGTGGAGGTAACTGCCTCTGTCTCTCTCTCTCTGTCTCTGTCTCTCTCTCTCTCTCTCTCTCTGCCTCTGTCTCTCTCTCTCTCTCTCTCTCTCTGCCTCTGTCTCTCTCTCTCTCTCTCTGCCTCTGCCTCTCTCTCTCTCTCTCTCTCTCTGCCTCTGTCTCTCTCTCTCTCTCTCTCTCTCTCTCTCTGCCTCTGTCTCTGCCTCTGTCTCTCTCTCTCTCTCTCTGCCTCTGTCTCTCTCTCTGCCTCTGTCTCGCTCTCTCTGCCTCTGTCTCTCTGTCTCTGCCTCTGTCTCTCTCTCTCTCTGCCTCTGTCTCTCTCTCTGCCTCTCTCTCTCTCTCTCTCTCTCTCTCTGGCTCTCTCTCTCTCTCTCTCTCTCTGCCTCTGTCTCTGCCTCTGTCTCTCTCTCTCTCTCTCTCTCTCTGCCTCTGTCTCTGTCTCTCTCTCTCTCTCTCTGCCTCTGTCTCTCTCTCTGCCTCTGTCTCTCTCTCTCTCTCTCTGCCTCTGTCTCTGTCTCTGCCTCTGTCTCTCTCTCTGCCTCTCTCTCTCTCTCTCTCTGCCTCTGTCTCTCTCTCTCTGTCTCTGCCTCTGTCTCTCTCTCTCTCTGCCTGTCTCTCTCTCTGCCTCTGTCTCTCTCTCTCTCTCTCTCTGCCTCTGTCTCTCTCTCTCTGTCTCTCTCTCTGCCTCTCTCTCTCTGTCTCTCTCTCTGTCTCTCTCTCTGCCTCTCTCTCTCTCTGTCTCTCTCTCTGTCTCTCTCTCTGTCTCTCTCTCTCTCTCTCTCTCTCTCTCTCTCTCTCTCTCTCTGCCTCTGTCTCTCTCTGTCTCTGCCTCTGTTGAGACCTCTCGAGTCCCGAGACCTCTCGAGTCCCGAGACCTCTCGAGTCCCGAGACCTCTCGAGTCCCGAGACCTCTCGAGTCCCGAGACCTCTTATCCACAGTTGGAGACACAGAGCGAGGAGGTGGTGAGCGGAGAGGAGCAGAGCGACTTGCAAAGTGAAGAGGAGGCACAGGAGGAGACTGATGATGAGGAGGCGCAGGAGAAGGAGGGAAAGGAGGAGAACGAGGAGGACTCTGGAGACGAGTGGACTCCGAGCTCTTACCGAAGAATACGCTGCTCAGTGAGGAAGAGGAGGAGGAGGAGGGAGGAGACAGGTGAGACACATGTGACATCACACATATGAAATCACACATGTGTGTTAATGTGTGTGTTGCAGAGTCCCCACAGAAGCAGCAGCTGTGTCCTGAGTGTGTGTTAATGTGTGTGTTGCAGAGTCCCCACAGGAGCAGCAGCTGTGTCCTGAGTGTGTGTTAATGTGTGTGTTGCAGAGTCCCCACAGAAGCAGCAGCTGTGTCCTGAGTGTGTGTTAATGTGTGTGTTGCAGAGTCCCCACAGGAGCAGCAGCTGTGTCCTGAGTGTGTGTTAATGTGTGTGTTGCAGAGTCCCCACAGAAGCAGCAGCTGTGTCCTGAGTGTGTGTTAATGTGTGTGTTGCAGAGTCCCCACAGAAGCAGCAGCTGTGTCCTGAGTGTGTGTTAATGTGTGTGTTGCAGAGTCCCCACAGGAGCAGCAGCTGTGTCCTGAGTGTGTGTTAATGTGTGTGTTGCAGAGTCCCCACAGAAGCAGCAGCTGTGTCCTGAGTGTGTGTTAATGTGTGTGTTGCAGAGTCCCCACAGAAGCAGCAGCTGTGTCCTGAGTGTGTGTTAATGTGTGTGTTGCAGAGTCCCCACAGAAGCAGCAGCTGTGTCCTGAGTGTGTGTTAATGTGTGTGTTGCAGAGTCCCCACAGGAGCAGCAGCTGTGTCCTGAGTGTGTGTTAATGTGTGTGTTGCAGAGTCCCCACAGGAGCAGCAGCTGTGTCCTGAGTGTGTGTTAATGTGTGTGTTAAAGAGTCCCCACAGGAGCAGCAGCTGTGTCCTGAGTGTGTGTTAATGTGTGTGTTGCAGAGTCCCCACAGAAGCAGCAGCTGTGTCCTGAGTGTGTGTTAATGTGTGGGTTGCAGAGTCCCCACAGGAGCAGCAGCTGTGTCCTGAGTGTGTGTTAATGTGTGTGTTGCAGAGTCCCCACAGAAGCAGCAGCTGTGTCCTGAGTGTGTGTTAATGTGTGTGTTGCAGAGTCCCCACAGGAGCAGCAGCTGTGTCCTGAGTGTGTGTTAATGTGTGTGTTAAAGAGTCCCCACAGGAGCAGCAGCTGTGTCCTGAGTGTGTGTTAATGTGTGTGTTGCAGAGTCCCCACAGAAGCAGCAGCTGTGTCCTGAGTGTGTGTTAATGTGTGTGTTGCAGAGTCCCCACAGAAGCAGCAGCTGTGTCCTGAGTGTGTGTTAATGTGTGGGTTGCAGAGTCCCCACAGGAGCAGCAGCTGTGTCCTGAGTGTGTGTTAATGTGTGTGTTGCAGAGTCCCCACAGAAGCAGCAGCTGTGTCCTGAGTGTGTGTTAATGTGTGTGTTGCAGAGTCCCCACAGAAGCAGCAGCTGTGTCCTGAGTGTGTGTTAATGTGTGTGTTGCAGAGTCCCCACAGAAGCAGCAGCTGTGTCCTGAGTGTGTGTTAATGTGTGTGTTGCAGAGTCCCCACAGAAGCAGCAGCTGTGTCCTGAGTGTGTGTTAATGTGTGTGTTGCAGAGTCCCCACAGAAGCAGCAGCTGTGTCCTGAGTGTGTGTTAATGTGTGTGTTGCAGAGTCCCCACAGAAGCAGCAGCTGTGTCCTGAGTGTGTGTTAATGTGTGTGTTGCAGAGTCCCCACAGGAGCAGCAGCTGTGTCCTGAGTGCGGTGCCTTCTTTGTGGCGACACACACGTGTGACATGAAACTCAAAGTGTGTGTGTGCAGCGTGTGCAGCCGGATGTTCATCTCTGAAGCTGCTCTCAGAGTCCACAGACACACACACTTAGACACACAGACACACACACTCAGACACACACATACACACAGTGACAGACACACACAGTGACAGACACACACACAGGCAGGAGGAGACTGAGAGCTGATTGGCTGAGAGCTGTGAAGGAGCTGCGGCCAAAACAAACACAGAGGACAGTTGCAGCTGTGAACGAGTACTTGAGTATTTTAGAGAAGTTGGATTCATCCCCAGAAGAGAAGTGTTCGTCCAAAAATTGCACACAGTAGAAAATACTAAAGCTACAGGAATCATCACCATGGAAACGGCAGTACCACCGTCACCATGGCAACGGCAGTACCACCCGTCACCATGGCAACGGCAGTACCACCTTTCATCATGGCGACAGGTCCCGCCCTCTGTCCTGAGGACTTCTTTCTGAAATGGAATTTGTTTTTATAACGTCTTCAGATCAGTTTCTCAGATTCATGTTCCACAAATAATCTGTAAAGATTAAAGTATTTGTATTTGAGTATTGTGTCTCTGATGTCTTTGTCCCTGTGTTCCTTTCAGAAACAGCACTGGTCCTTTTGTAGCTAGTGACTCCATAAAACCAGGTGTTTGTAAGCTGTGCTTCTAACAGATTGAACACACCAAGTAATACTCAGTAGATACTTTTAGTCAAAAGTGGTTCTTACAGCCCCAAGATGGCGCCTGTGCAGCCTCTCTAGTGTAGAAACAGCAGAGGTAGTTCTTACAGTCCCAAGATGGCGCCTGTGCAGCCTCTCTAGTGTAGAAACAGCAGAGGTAGTTCTTACAGTCCCAAGATGGCGCCTGTGCAGCCTCTCTAGTGTAGAAACAGCAGAGGTAGTTCTTACAGTCCCAAGATGGCGCCTGTGCAGCCTCTCTAGTGTAGAAACAGCAGAGGTAGTTCTTACAGTCCCAAGATGGCGCCTGTGCAGCCTCTCTGGTGTAGAAACAGAGCAGAGGTGGTTCTTACAGTCCCAAGATGGCGCCTGTGCAGCGTCTCCTCTGGTGTAGAAACAGAGCAGAAGTAAAACATGGCGTCTGACATCAGACCGTGCTCAGTGGCTCTGTCCTGTCTCCCTCCCTGGGCTCTCCCTCTCACAGACCTGACTCATAAGGCCGTTAAAGCCAAGACACGGCGCAGACACGGCGGGAGAATGCTCCCGTTCCCGCGGTGGAAGAGGCTGCGCCTCCGCCTCGGGTTCAGCCTGGACCGGGAGCTGGCGGAGCATCTGCTGGACAGGTCCGTACTGTTTATCCCCCCCCCCCTCCTCCTCTCCCCCTGTCTCTCCCCTGTCTCTCCCCCTGTCTCTCCCCCTGTCTCTCCTCCCTCTCTCCCCCTGTCTCTCCTCCCTGTCTCTCCCCCTGTCTCTCCTCCCTCTCTCCCCCTGTCTCTCCTCCCTCTCTCCCCCTGTCTCTCCTCCCTCTCTCCCCCTGTCTCTCCTCTCTCTCTCCTCCCTGTCTCCCCCCTGTCTCTCCTCCCTCTCTCCCCCTGTCTCTCCTCCCTCTCTCCCCCTGTCTCTCCTCTCTCTCTCCTCCCTGTCTCCCCCCTGTCTCTCCTCCCTCTCCCCCCCTGTCTCTCCCCTGTCTCTCCCCCTGTCTCTCCTCCCTCTCTCCCCCTGTCTCTCCCCCTGTCTCTCCCCCTGTCTCTCCCCTGTCTCTCCCCTGTCTCTCCCCCTGTCTCTCCTCCCTCTCTCCCCCTGTCTCTCCTCTCTCTCTCCTCCCTGTCTCCCCCTGTCTCTCCCCCTGTCTCTCCCCTGTCTCTCCCCCTGTCTCTCCCCTGTCTCTCCTCCCTCTCTCCCCCTGTCTCTCCTCTCTCTCTCCTCCCTGTCTCCCCCCTGTCTCTCCTCCCTCTCTCCCCCTGTCTCTCCTCTCTCTCTCCTCCCTGTCTCCCCCCTGTCTCTCCTCCCTCTCTCCCCCTGTCTCTCCCCTGTCTCTCCCCCTGTCTCTCCTCCCTCTCTCCCCCTGTCTCTCCCCCTGTCTCTCCCCTGTCTCTCCCCCTGTCTCTCCCCTGTCTCTCCCCCTGTCTCTCCCCTGTCTCTCCCCCTGTCTCTCCTCCCTCTCTCCCCCTGTCTCTCCTCTCTCTCTCCTCCCTGTCTCTCCCCCTGTCTCTCCTCTCTCTCCCCCTGTCTCTCCTCCCTGTCTCCCCCTGTCTCTCCCCCTGTCTCTCTCTGGAAGGAGACGGAGGGAGACAGAGGGAGACAGAGGGAGACAGAGGGAGACAGAGGGAGACAGAGGGAGACAGAGGGAGACAGAGGGAGACAGAGGGAGACAGAGGGAGACAGAGGGAGACAGAGAGAGACAGAATGAGACAGACTAACAGACTAGTTTCATTTTTCTATTCAAATAAAACAAACAAAAACTGAATGTTTGAAAATGAATTTAAATACTACTCTCTGTCTCTGTGTCTCTGTGTCTGTCTCTGTCTGTCTCTGTGTCTCTGTCTGTCTCTGTGTCTCTGTCTGTCTCTGTCTGTCTCTGTGTCTCTGTGTCTCTGTGTCTGTCTCTGTCTGTCTCTGTGTCTCTGTCTGTGTCTCTGTGTCTGTCTCTCTCCGTGTCTGTGTCTCTGTGTCTGTCTCTGTCTGTCTGTCTGTCTCTCTGTCTGTCTGTCTCTCTGTCTGTCTCTGTGTCTCTGTCTGTCTCTCTGTCTGTCTGTCTCTGTCTGTCTGTGTCTCTGTCTCTCTGTCTGTCTGTCTGTCTCTCTGTCTGTCTGTCTCTGTGTCTCTGTCTGTCTCTCTGTCTGTCTGTCTGTCTCTGTGTCTCTGTCTGTCTGTCTCTCTGTCTGTCTCTGTCTCTCTGTCTGTCTCTCTGTCTGTCTGTCTCTGTGTCTCTGTCTGTCTGTCTGTCTGTCTCTCTGTCTGTCTGTCTGTCTCTCTGTCTGTCTGTCTCTGTGTCTCTGTCTGTCTGTCTGTCTCTGTCTCTCTGTCTGTCTCTCTGTCTGTCTGTCTCTGTCTGTCTGTCTGTCTGTCTCTCTCTCTGTCTGTCTCTGTGTCTCTGTCTCAGGTGTCCAGCCTGTGGCCTCGTGTTGAAACTTCCAGAACCAGAGAACATCGGAGTCTCCACAGAAGTAACGGAGGTGTGTGGGAACTAACAGACCAGGAGGAGCAGAGGGGGAGGAGCAGGAGAGGGGAGGAGGAGAGATATGGAGAGAGGAGAGAGATGGGGAGAGAGGAGGAGCAGGAGAGAGATGGGGAGAGAGGAGGAGCAGGAGAGAGGAGGAGCAGGAGAGAGATGGGGAGAGAGGAGGAGCAGGAGAGAGGAGGAGCAGGAGAGAGATGGGGAGAGAGGAGGAGCAGGAGAGAGATGGGGAGAGAGGAGGAGCAGGAGAGAGGAGGAGCAGGAGAGAGATGGGGAGAGAGGAGGAGCAGGAGAGAGATGGGGAGAGAGGAGGAGCAGGAGAGAGATGGGGAGAGAGGAGGAGCAGGAGAGAGATGGGGAGAGAGGAGGAGCAGGAGAGAGATGGGGAGAGAGGAGGAGCAGGAGAGAGATGGGGAGAGAGGAGGAGCAGGAGAGAGATGGGGAGAGAGGAGGAGCAGGAGAGAGGAGGCGCAGGAGAGAGATGGGGAGAGAGGAGGAGCAGGAGAGAGGAGGAGCAGGAGAGAGATGGGGAGAGAGGAGGAGCAGGAGAGAGATGGGGAGAGAGGAGGAGGAGCCGAGACAACCGTAGATTATCTTGATAATGGTTGATCATCAGGTCCTGATGAGTGTGACATCACAATGTTTCATCAGAGAGAGGAGCCAGGCAGCTCTGCAGGCTCAGGCCAGGACCAGGAGGAGGACCAGGAGGAGGACCAGGAGGAAGATCTGAAGAGTGAAGAAGAGGACCACTCTGAGGACTGGACTCCTGAACGAAGGAAAATCAAAGAAGAAGTCATCTCTGCTGCAGAGAAGAAGATCCGAAGAAAAACCAGTAAGAAACTGATGGTTCTCTGACCTCTACTGGAGAAACCACTCTGGTCTCTCTCTGGTCTCTCTCTGGTCTCTCTCTGGTCTCTCTCTCTGGTCTCTCTCTGGTCTCTCTCTCTGGTCTCTCTCTGGTCTATCTCTCTGGTCTCTCTCTGGTCTCTCTCTCTGGTCTCCCTGGTTTCTCTCTCTGGTTTCTCTCTGGTCTCTCTCTGGTCTCTCTCTCTGGTTTCTCTCTGGTCTCTCTCTGGTCTCTCTCTCTGGTTTCTCTCTGGTCTCTCTCTCTGGTCTCTCTCTCTGGTCTCCCTGGTTTCTCTCTGGTCTCTCTCTCTGGTTTCTCTCTGGTCTCTCTCTGGTCTCTCTCTCTGGTTTCTCTCTGGTCTCTCTCTCTGGTCTCTCTCTCTGGTCTCCCTGGTTTCTCCCTGGTTTCTCTCTGGTCTCTCTCTCTGGTTTCTCTCTGGTCTCTCTCTCTCTGGTCTCTCTCTCTGGTCTGCAAGTTCCCCCACTTAAAAAGACGAGGCAGCCCTGTAATTTCCATCACAGATAAACCTCAAAGAGAGACAGAAAAATCCAGAAAACCCCATTTTCTGATTTTTGAAGAATTTATTTGTGAAAGATGTAAAATAAGTATTTGGTCAATAACAAAAGTTAATTAATACTGTGTTATATCCCTTCAAAGACAGACCTCACGAGGTTGTCACCGCTGCTGGTATTTTGGCCCATTCCTCCTGCAGATCTCTAGAGCAGTGATGTCTTGGGACCTTTTTCTGAGAAACAGACTTTCAACTCCCTCCAAAGATGTTCTGTGAGATGTGGAGACTGAGGCCCTCCAGGACCTTGAAAGGCAGCTCCAGGACCTTGAAAGGCCGCTCCAGGACCTTGAAAGGCCGCTCCAGGACCTTGAAAGGCAGCTCCAGGACCTTGAAAGGCAGCTCCCAGGACCTTGAAAGGCCGCTCTAGGACCTTGAAAGGCAGCTCCAGGACCTTGAAAGGCAGCTCCAGGACCTTGAAAGGCCGCTCCAGGACCTTGAAAGGCCGCTCCAGGACCTTGAAAGGCAGCTCCAGGACCTTGAAAGGCAGCTTCAGGACCTTGAAAGGCTGCTCCAGGACCTTGAAAGGCCGCTCCAGGACCTTGAAAGGCCGCTCCAGGACTTTGAAAGGCCGCTCCAGGACCTTGAAAGGCAGCTCCAGGACCTTGAAAGGCAGCTCCAGGACCTTGAAAGGCAGCTCCAGGACCTTGAAAGGCAGCTCCAGGACCTTGAAAGGCCGCTCCAGGACCTTGAAAGGCCGCTCCAGGACCTTGAAAGGCCGCTCCAGGACCTTGAAAGGCAGCTCCAGGACCTTGAAAGGCAGCTCCAGGACCTTGAAAGGCCGCTCCAGGACCTTGAAAGGCAGCTCCAGGACCTTGAAAGGCCGCTCCAGGACCTTGAAAGGCCGCTCCAGGACCTTGAAAGGCCGCTCCAGGACCTTGAAAGGCCGCTCCAGGACCTTGAAAGGCCGCTCCAGGACCTTGAAAGGCAGCTCCAGGACCTTGAAAGGCAGCTCCAGGACCTTGAAAGGCAGCTCCAGGACCTTGAAAGGCCGCTCCAGGACCTTGAAAGGCCGCTCCAGGACCTTGAAAGGCAGCTCCAGGACCTTGAAAGGCTGCTCCAGGACCTTGAAAGGCCGCTCCAGGACCTTGAAAGGCCGCTCCAGGACCTTGAAAGGCCGCTCCAGGACCTTGAAAGGCAGCTCCAGGACCTTGAAAGGCAGCTCCAGGACCTTAAAAGGCCGCTCCAGGACCGTGAAAGGCCGCTCCAGGACCGTGAAAGGCCGCTCCAGGACCTTGAAAGGCCGCTCCAGGACCTTGAAAGGCCGCTCCAGGACCTTGAAAGGCCGCTCCAGGACCTTGAAAGGCCGCTCCAGGACCTTGAAAGGCAGCTCCAGGACCTTGAAAGGCAGCTCCAGGACCTTGAAAGGCCGCTCCAGGACCGTGAAAGGCCGCTCCAGGACCGTGAAAGGCCGCTCCAGGACCTTGAAAGGCCGCTCTGTGTGTGATCTAGGGATGTAAAAAACTATGAATTTTCATGACCGACCACCGAGCCTCATTAACCGGTTGAAACCGGTTAACCGCGTAGTTTAAAATAGTCCACGTTCTTTGAAATAACAGCCATTTCGAGCCGCGTACTTTTCATAAGTGCAGCTCTGCGTTCTACTGGATCAGAGCCGAGACAGCGGCGCCCAAACCCGCAACAGCTCCGTCACCTTTGCGCACAGAGAACTGCTGTTTTAATCTTCCCATTCTGCTGTGCTGCGGGTTAATACCAAAACTTTCTAGCAGCAAACGACGGCTCGTTCACATGGTCAGAGCAGCGAGTGACGAGCCGCGTCTCACAGGTCTTCACAAAAGTTTAAATACAAGTGATGTGTGTGGAGCTGATCCCGAGGACCATAAACACAAACATGTTCCATGTGGTTTGACTGGAGCCGCGTATTTGCGCGAATCCTTTGGGCTCCGTGACACAGAGGAGCGCGACAGACCGGTGTATGTGTGTATGTGTGTGTGTATGTATGTGTGTGTGTGTAAATGTAATCTCCAATGTAGTTCTGACCCGCGCCAGTGTGCAACTTTGACGGTAACAGAGGGGAGAGATTGTGTGTGTGTGTGTGTGTGTGTGTGTGTGTGTGTGTGTGTGTGTGTGTGTGTGTGTGTGTGTGTGTGTGTGTGTGTGTGTGTGTGTGTGTGTGTGTGTGTGTGTGTGTGTGTGTGTGTGTGTGTGTGTGTGTGTGTGTGTGTGTGTGTGTGTGTGTGTAAATGTAATCTCCAATGTAGTTCTGACCCGCGCCAGTGTGCAACTTTGACGGTAACAGAGGGGAGAGATGATGCGTGTGGATGTTACGTATGGAGAGATGGAGAGGGGGAAAGTGTGTGTGTGTGTGTGTGTGCGTGCACGCATGCGTGTGTGCATATGTGGCTCGTGCGGCCTGAGAGTCGTCCCGGAGTTTATAATACATTGGCGCACACAGCTAGATACAGACCCGCTCGTCACACCGTGCAAATAGGGCTTAAAATAGCGTTATTAAGAGACCTCCCCTCTCCCCTTTTTCTCTTTTTTAACCGACAGCTTTGACCGGTTAACGCTGTGACGGTCAACCACCGGTTAAACGGTCGCCGATTTACATCCCTAGTGTGATCTGAGGCTAGGACAGAGGTTGACCTTCAGCAGGACAATGGCCCCAGACACACTGCTAAAGCAACACTTCAGTGGTTTAAGGGGAACATGTAAATGTGTTGGAATGAGTCAAAGCCCAGAGCTCAGTCCAATAGAACATCTGTGTCAGACTTAAAGAGGACTGTTCACAAGCGCAAACCATCCAACATGAAGGAGCTGGAGCAGTTTTGCAAAGAGGAATGGGCAAACATCCCAGTGGTAAGATGTGGCAAGCTCATAGAGACTTATCCAAAGAGACTTGGAGCTTGGACTGCTGCAGAAGGAGCTCTACAAAGTATTGACTTCAGGGGGTGAAGAGTTTTGCACATTGACCTTCTTCAAAGTTGTGGCATGTTCCGTAAATCCTCAAACGATCCATGTTCATTCCAGGCTGTGAGGCAACAACACACACATGCCAAGGGGGTGAATACTTTTGCAAGGCACTGTACATACACCTGTGGTGATGTGTGCACAGTGTTACACACGTGTGTATTAGGGATGTAAATCGGTGACCGTTTAACCGGTGGTTGACCGTCACAGCGTTAACCGGTCAAAGCTGTCGGTTAAAGAAGAGAAAGGGGAGGTCTCTTCATGACACTGTTTTAAGCCTTATTCTCACGATGAGACGAGCGGGTCTGTATCTAGCTGTGTGCGCCAATGTATCAGTAAACTCTGGGCCGACTCTCACGCCGCACGCGCCACATATGCACGCACACACACACACGCGCCACATATGCACACGCGCCACATATGCACACACGCACACGCGCCACATATGCACGCACACATGCACACGCTCCACATATGCACACACGCATGCACACGCGCCACATATGCACACACACTTGCACACGCGCCACATATGCACGCACACATGCACACGCGCCACATATGCACGCACACATGCACACGCGCCACATATGCACGCACACATGCACACGCGCCACATATGCACGCACACGCGCCACATATGCACGCACACATGCACACGCGCCACATATGCACGCACACATGCACACGCGCCACATATGCACGCACACATGCACACGCGCCACATATGCACGCACACATGCACACGCGCCACATATGCACGCACACGCGCCACATGTGCACGCACACATGCACACGCGCCACATATGCACGCACACGCGCCACATATGCACGCACACATGCACACGCGCCACATATGCACGCACACGCGCCACATATGCACGCACACATGCACACGCGGCACACATGCACACGCGCCACATATGCACGCACACATGCACACGCGCCACATATGCACGCACACATGCACACGCGCCACATATGCACGCACACATGCACACGCGCCACATATGCACGCACACGCGCCACATATGCACGCACACATGCACACGCGCCACATATGCACGCACACATGCACACGCGCCACATATGCATGCACACATGCACACGCGCCACATATGCACGCACACGCGCCACATATGCACGCACACATGCCACATATGCACGCACACATGCACACGCGCCACATATGCACGCACACATGCACACGCGCCACATATGCACGCACACATGCACACGCGCCACATATGCACGCACACGCGCCACATATGCACGCACACATGCACACGCGCCACATATGCACGCACACATGCACACGCGCCACATATGCACGCACACATGCACACGCGCCACATATGCACGCACACATGCACACGCGCCACATATGCACGCACACGCGCCACATATGCACGCACACATGCACACGCGCCACATATGCACGCACACGCGCCACATATGCACGCACACATGCACACGCGCCACATATGCACGCACACGCGCCACATATGCACGCACACATGCACACGCGGCACACATGCACACGCGCCACATATGCACGCACACATGCACACGCGCCACATATGCACGCACACATGCACACGCGCCACATATGCACGCACACATGCACACGCGCCACATATGCACGCACACATGCACACGCGCCACATATGCACGCACACGCGCCACATATGCACGCACACATGCACACGCGCCACATATGCACGCACACATGCACACGCGCCACATATGCATGCACACCGCGCCACATATGCATATGCACGCACACGCGCCACATATGCACGCACACATGCCACATATGCACGCACACATGCACACGCGCCACATATGCACGCACACATGCACACGCGCCACATATGCACGCACACATGCACACGCGCCACATATGCACGCACACATGCACACGCGCCACATATGCACGCACACGCGCCACATATGCACGCACACATGCACACGCGCCACATATGCACGCACACATGCACACGCGCCACATATGCATGCACACATGCACACGCGCCACATATGCACGCACACGCGCCACATATGCACGCACACATGCCACATATGCACGCACACATGCACACGCGCCACATATGCACGCACACATGCACACGCGCCACATATGCACACACACATGCACACACACATATGCATGCACGCACACATGCACACGCGCCACATATGCACGCACACATGCACACGCGCCACATATGCACACACACATATGCACACACACATATGCACGCACACATGCACACGCGCCACATATGCACGCACACATGCACACGCGCCACATATGCACGCACACATGCACACGCGCCACATATGCACGCACACATGCACACGCGCCACATATGCACGCACACATGCACACGCGCCACATATGCACGCACACATGCACACGCGCCACATATGCACGCACACATGCACACGCGCCACATATGCACGCACACATGCACACGCGCCACATATGCACGCACACATGCACACGCGCCACATATGCACGCACACGCGCCACATATGCACGCACACATGCACACGCGCCACATATGCACGCACACATGCCACATATGCACGCACACATGCACACGCGCCACATATGCACGCACACATGCACACGCGCCACATATGCACGCACACATGCACACGCGCCACATATGCACGCACACATGCACACGCGCCACATATGCACGCACACGCGCCACATATGCACGCACACATGCACACGCGCCACATATGCACGCACACGCGCCACATATGCACGCACACATGCACACGCGCCACATATGCACACACACATATGCACGCACACATGCACACGCGCCACATATGCACGCACACATGCACACGCGCCACATATGCACGCACAAATGCACACGCGCCACATATGCACGCACACATGCACATGCGCCACATATGCACACACACTTGCACACGCGCCACATATGCACGCACACGCGCCACATATGCACGCACACGCGCCACATATGCACGCACACATGCACACGCGCCACATATGCACGCACACACGCGCCACATATGCACGCACACATGCACACGCACTCACTCACTCACTCATGTTTGTGTTGCAGGTCAGCTGTGCAGCACCTGTGGAGACGTGTGGAGGCGGAGCCACAGCTGCCCCGGCAGCCTGCGGCCTCACGCCTGCAGCGGCTGCAGCCGCAGGTTCAGCTCTGAGTCGTCTCTGCGCGTGCACAGCGCCGTGCACTCGGCCTCGCACCAGGTGCGCTGTAAGTTCTGTAACGTCGGCTTCAAAACCAAAGCGGAGAAAGTGCGGCACGAGCGCAGCCACCTGCGGCAGAGCGCCCCCTACCTGTGCCCCAGCTGCCCACGCGGCTTCACCAGCTACAGGCTGCGCGCCGCGCACAAGAAGGAGCACGTGGACAAGTACAAGTGCGGCGTGTGCGGCCTGGGCTTCTTCGAGGAGCAGCACTTCTTGCGCCACACGGCGGTGCACACGGGAGAGCGCCCCCACGTGTGCGACGTGTGCGGCGCCGGCTTCAAACAGAGCACGCACCTGAAGTCGCACACGCGGCTGCACACCGGCGAGCGCCCGTACCGCTGCCCACACTGCGACCGCGCCTTTAACCACAACGTCAGTCTGAAGAGCCACCTGCGCCGCTCACACCAGCAGACACACCAGGGGAGACACCAGGAGACACACCAGCTGTCACACCCGCAGACACACCAGGAGACACACACCAGCTGCCACCAGGAGACACACACAAGCTGCTACAATGAACCACACACAAGCTGCCGCAATGAACCACACACCAGCTGCCACCAGGAGACACACACCAGCTGCCACCAGGAGACACACACCAGCTGCCACCAGGAGACACACACCAGCTGCCACCAGGAGACACACACCAGCTGCCACAATGAACCACACACAAGCGGCCACCAGGAGACACACACCAGCTGCCACAATGAACCACACACCAGCTGCCACCAGGAGACACACACCAGCTGCCACAATGAACCACACACCAGCAACAGTAAAAACAGCACAGTGAAGTACCGGCGCAGGCCTCCAAGCGGGCGGCCACGGGGACGGCCGAGGAGGAGCGCAGAGAAGGATACGGAGGAGGCGCAGGAGGAGGAGGTGCCCGGCGCCTCGAGCCGAACACAGGCTCTGATCCAGAAGCTCCACACTGAGGCCTACGACAGCGACCAGGACTGCACCTGGCCCCAAGAGTGGATCCGCCTCTACAGGTCCCTCAAGGGGGAGAACTGAGGAGGCGCACTGGAGGGGGAGAACTGAGGAGGCGCACTGGAGGGGGAGAACTGAGGAGGCGCACTGGAGGGGGAGAACTGAGGAGGCGCACTGGAGGGGGAGAACTGAGGCGGCGCACTGGAGGGGGGGAGGACTGAGGAGATGCACTGGAGGGGGAGGACTGAGGAGGCGCACTGGAGGGGGAGGACTGAGGAGGTGCTCTGGAGGGGGAGGACTGAGGAGGTGCTCTGGAGGGGCAGGACTGAGGAGGCGCACTGGAGGGGGAGGACTGAGATGCACTGGAGGGGGAGGACTGAGGAGATGCACTGGAGGGGGAGGACTGAGGAGATGCACTGGAGGGGGAGGACTGAGGAGGCGCACTGGAGGGGGAGGACTGAGGAGGCGCACTGGAGGGGGAGGACTGAGGAGGCGCTCTGGAGGGGCAGGACTGAGGAGGCGCACTGGAGGGGGAGGACTGAGGAGGCGCACTGGAGGGGGAGGACTGAGGAGGCGCACTGGAGGGGGAGGACTGAGGAGGCGCTCTGGAGGGGCAGGACTGAGGAGGCGCACTGGAGGGGGAGGACTGAGGAGGTGCACTGGAGGGGGAGGACTGAGGAGGTGCACTGAAACCCTCATCATGAAACACCTGATTGGTCCAGATCTTCCCTGATGACCCCTGACCTCTGCTTCATAAATAAATAAATATCACCCTGTTTTTGAATGTCATTTACAAAAGAGACCAGAGAGAGAGGGACCAGAGAGAGACCAGAGAGGGACCAGAGAGAGACCAGAGAGAGAGGGACCAGAGAGGCCAGAGGGAGACCAGAGAGAGACCAGAGAGGGACCAGAGAGAGACCAGAGAGAGACCAGTGAGAGACCAGAGAGAGAGGGACCAGCGAGAGGGACCAGAGAGGCCAGAGGGAGACCAGAGAGAGACCAGAGAGAGACCAGAGAGGGACCAGAGAGGGACCAGAGACAGACCAGAGAGAAACCAGAGAGGGACCAGAGAGAGACCAGAGAGAGACCAGAGAGAGAGGGACTAGAAAGAGGGACCAGATAGCGACCAGAGAGAGTTGCTTCATGGAGGAATGACAGCACAGGTTCATGTTTAAACAACTTTAATCCAAACAGAATAAACAACAGGAAAAGATCCTCAAAGACTGTGGCTCAGTGTCCTCTGAGTGTTCTGAAGAGACACACACGGACCGTCTCTGGGACCGTCTCTGGGACCGTCTCTGGGACCGTCTCTGGGACCGTCTCTGGGACCGTCTCTGGGACCGTCTCTGGGACCGTCTCTGGGACCGTCTCTGGGACCGTGTGGATGATGGAAGGTGCCGCAGGTCTGGAGCTGCAGGTGGTTAAGAACAACACGTGCTAATGTAGTTCTGTGTGTGTGTGTCTATCTGCGTTGTGTGTGTGTGTGTGTCTATTTGCGGTGTGTGTGTGTGTCTATCTCCGTTGTGTAGCCAGTAGAAAGTCCTTGTCGCTGCAGCTGATGCAGAGCGACAGGTTCCTCAGAGAACCTCCAGCGCAGTAGAACGACCACACTCCCATCAGCAGCAGCATCACATACGTGGGCACCAGGCTCCACACGTACACCGGGTTCTGGAAGCTCTGAGGAGGAGACAGAAGGAGGTGAGAGGAGGAGGAGGAGACAGCAGGAGGAGGCAGGAGGAGGTCTCACCAGGCAGGAGATGATCAGGTGGCTCAGGATGACCGCTGCGACCCCCCACCACCGCTGCTTCTCACAGGCATCGAAGAACACCACCCCCCAGAACAGGTGCAGCAGGATGATGGCCATGGTCATGAAGGCTGCAACACAACAGACACACAACTGAGACTGAGACACACACAGCCATGGTCATGAAGGCTGCAACACAACAGACACACACAGCCATGGTCATGAAGGCTGCAACACAACAGACACACAACTGAGACTGAGACACACACAGCCATGGTCATGAAGGCTGCAACACAACAGACACACACAGCCATGGTCATGAAGGCTGCAACACAACAGACACACAACTGAGACTGAGACACACACAGCCATGGTCATGAAGGCTGCAACACAACAGACACACACAGCCATGGTCATGAAGGCTGCAACACAACAGACACACAACTGAGACTGAGACACACACAGCCATGGTCATGAAGGCTGCAACACAACAGACACACACAGCCATGGTCATGAAGGCTGCAACACAACAGACACACAACTGAGACTGAGACACACACAGCCATGGTCATGAAGGCTGCAACACAACAGACACACACAGCCATGGTCATGAAGGCTGCAACACAACAGACACACAACTGAGACTGAGACACACACAGCCATGGTCATGAAGGCTGCAACACAACAGACACACACAGCCATGGTCATGAAGGCTGCAACACAACAGACACACAACTGAGACTGAGACACACACAGCCATGGTCATGAAGGCTGCAACACAACAGACACACACAGCCATGGTCATGAAGGCTGCAACACAACAGACACACAACTGAGACTGAGACACACACAGCCATGGTCATGAAGGCTGCAACACAACAGACACACAACTGAGACTGAGACACACACAGCCATGGTCATGAAGGCTGCAACACAACAGACACACAGCCATGGTCATAAAGGCTGCAACACAACAGACACACAACTGAGACTGAGACACACACAGCCATGGTCATGAAGGCTGCAACACAACAGACACACACAGCCATGGTCATGAAGGCTGCAACACAACAGACACACAACTGAGACTGAGACACACACAGCCATGGTCATGAAGGCTGCAACACAACAGACACACACAGCCATGGTCATGAAGGCTGCAACACAACAGACACACAACTGAGACTGAGACACACACAGCCATGGTCATGAAGGCTGCAACACAACAGACACACAACTGAGACTGAGACACACACAGCCATGGTCATGAAGGCTGCAACACAACAGACACACAGCCATGGTCATAAAGGCTGCAACACAACAGACACACAACTGAGACTGAGACACACACACCATGGTCATGAAGGTGCAACACAACAGACACACAACTGAGACTGAGACACACACAGCCATGGTCATGAAGGCTGCAACTCAACAGACACACAGCCATGGTCATAAAGGCTGCAACACAACAGACACACAACTGAGACTGAGACACACACAGCCATGGTCATGAAGGCTGCAACACAACAGACACACACAGCCATGGTCATAAAGGCTGCAACACAACAGACACACAACTGAGACTGAGACACACACAGCCATGGTCATGAAGGCTGCAACACAACAGACACACACAGCCATGGTCATAAAGGCTGCAACACAACAGACACACAACTGAGACTGAGACACACACAGCCATGGTCATGAAGGCTGCAACACAACAGACACACACAGCCATGGTCATGAAGGCTGCAACACAACAGACACACACAGCCTCAGGTCATGCAACCAGGCAGCAGACTGGCCGCAGCAGATAAGTCGCAGCAGACTCGTCGCAGCAGACTGGCCGCAGCAGACTGGCCGCAGCAGACTCGTCGCAGCAGACTGGCCGCAGCAGACTCGTCGCAGCAGACTGGTCGCAGCAGACTCGTCGCAGCAGACTCGTCGCAGCAGACTGGTCGCAGCAGACTGGTCGCAGCAGACTGGCCGCAGCAGACTCGTCGCAGCAGACTCGTCGCAGCAGACTGGTCGCAGCAGACTCGTCGCAGCAGACTGGTCGCAGCAGACTCGTCGCAGCAGACTGGTCGCAGCAGACTCGTCGCAGCAGACTGGTCGCAGCAGACTGGTCGCAGCAGACTGGCCGCAGTAGACTCGTCGCAGCAGACTCGTCGCAGCAGACTCGTCGCAGCAGACTGGTCGCAGCAGACTCGTCGCAGCAGACTGGTCGCAGCAGACTGGTCGCAGCAGACTGGTCGCAGCAGACTGGTCGCAGCAGACTGGTCGCAGCAGACTGGTCGCAGCAGACTGGTCGCAGCAGACTGGTCGCAGCAGACTGGCCGCAGTAGACTCGTCGCAGCAGACTCGTCGCAGCAGACTCGTCGCAGCAGACTCGTCGCAGCAGACTCGTCGCAGCAGACTGGTCGCAGCAGACTCGTCGCAGCAGACTGGTCGCAGCAGACTCGTCGCAGCAGACTGGTCGCAGCAGACTGGCCGCAGCAGACTCGTCGCAGCAGACTCGTCGCAGCAGACTCGTCGCAGCAGACTCGTCGCAGCAGACTGGCCGCAGCAGACTCGTCGCAGCAGACTCGTCGCAGCAGACTGGCCGCAGCAGACTGGTCGCAGCAGATAAGACGCAGCAGATAAGTCGCAGCAGATAAGTCGCAGCAGACTCGTCGCAGCAGATTCGTCGCAGCAGACTCGTCGCAGCAGACTCGTCGCAGCAGACTGGCCGCAGCAGACTCGTCGCAGCAGACTGGCCGCAGCAGACTGGTCGCAGCAGATAAGACGCAGCAGATAAGACGCAGCAGATAAGACGCAGCAGATAAGACGCAGCAGATAAGACGCAGCAGATAAGTCGCAGCAGATAAGTCGCAGCAGACTCGTCGCAGCAGACTCGTCGCAGCAGACTCGTCGCAGCAGACTCGTCGCAGCAGACTCGTCGCAGCAGACTGGCCGCAGCAGACTGGCCGCAGCAGACTGGTCGCAGCAGATAAGTCGCAGCAGATAAGACGCAGCGCACACACAATAGGTGTATACATAAAAACTGTGCACCAAAATGGTCGCACATCTTCTCGATATGGACATCGCATGCACCAATATCAATGGGTTCGAGCCCACCATAAGACCTTCTCTGACTCCCACTGATGACTGCTGTCGTTGTGTCCTTGGGCAAGACACTTAAAGTGATAGTCTGTAACTCTAAATGAATTACACATTTTAGGAAATGTGTTAAATTGACCTCCTGGCCTTAAATGTTGATATAAAATAAGTCATTTTTTAAATTCTAATATTACGGTAAGTCCCGCCTTCCCTTCTCTTAGCCAAGGGCTGATGCCAAGGGCTGTCAATCATCAGCGCTGATGCTCGCAGCTGCTCATGCTCAGTTTGTTTGTTTTCACGGAGCCTCAGAATAAAGTCTCTATTTATCCATATAACCTATATCCATAATCATTTATATATGAACCTACAGTGCCTTGCGAAAGTATTCGGCCCCCTTGAACCTTTCAACATGTCGCCACATTTCAAGCTTCAAACATAAAGATATAAAATGTTAATTTTTTGTCATGAATCAACAAGTGAGACACAATCGTGAAGTGGAATAAAATTAAGTTGGATAATTTAAACTTTTTTAACAAATAAAAAAGTGAGTTTTTGAGTTTTTGTGACTGATGATGATAAATAGAATGCACCTGTGTGTAATCAAGTCTCCGTATAAATGCACCTGCTCTTTGATAGTCTCAGGGTTCTGTTTAAAGCGCAGAGAGAACCATGAAGACAAAGGAACACACCAGGCAGGTCCGAGATACTGTTGTGGAGAAGTTTAAAGCCGGATTTGGATACAAAAAGATTTCCCAAGCTTTAAACATCTCAAGGAGCACTGTGCAAGGAATTATATTGAAATGGAAGGAGTATCAGACCACTGCAAATCTACCAAGACCCGGCCGTCCCTCCAAACTTTCATCTCAAACAAGGAGAAGACTGATCCGAGATGCAGCCAAGAGGCCCATGATCACTCTGGATGAACTGCAGATAACTACAGCTGAGGTGGGAGAGTCTGTCCATAGGACAACAATCAGTCGTGCACTGCACAAATCTGGCCTTTATGGAAGAGTGGCAAGAAGAAAGCCATTTCTCAAAGATATCCATAAAAAGTCTGGTTTAAAGTTTGCCACAAGCCACCTGGGAGACACACCAAACATGTGGAAGAAGGTGCTCTGGTCAGATGAAACCAAAATCAAACTTTTTGGCCACAATGCAAAACGATATGTTTGGCGTAAAAGCAACACAGCTCATCACCCTGAACACACCATCCCCACTGTCAAACATGGTGGTGGCAGCATCATGCTTTGGGCCTGCTTTTCTTCAGCAGGGACAGGGAAGATGGCTAAAATTGATGGGAAGATGGATGGAGCCAAATACAGGACCATTCTCTGTGCTTTAAACAGAACCCTGAGACTATCAAAGAGCAGGTGCATTTATACGGAGACTTGATTACACACAGGTGCATTCTATTTATCATCATCAGTCATTTAGGACAACATTGGATCATTCAAAGATCCTCACTGAACTTCTGGACTGAGTTTGCTGCACTGAAAGTAAAGGGGCCCAATAATATTGCACGCCCCACTTTTCAGTTTTTTATTTGTTAAAAAAGTTGTTAAATTATCCAATAAATTTTGTTCCACTTCACGTTTGTGTCCCACTTGTTGTTGATTCATGACAAAAAATTAAAATGTTATATCTTTATGTTTGAAGCCTGAAATGTGGCGAAATGTTGAAAGGTTCAAGGGGGCCGAATACTTTTGCAAGGCACTGTTTATCCATAATCATTTATATACTGGACTCGGCTCCTGCAGGAGGACCAGGGGCTGGTGCTCTGACTGCCACCCCCCACCCAGACATGGATTAAGGGGAAGAAAATGGATGGATATTGTTTCATTCGAGCAACACAGGACACGCACAGAGACAGAGACAGACACACACACACACACACACAGGACACGCACAGAGACAGACATACACACACACACACACACACTCACAGGACACACACAGAGACAGACATACACACACACACACACACACTCACAGGACACGCACAGAGACAGGCACACACACAAACACACTCACAGGACACGCACAGAGACAGACATACACACACACACAGGACACGCACAGAGACAGACACACACACACACACAGGACACGCACAGAGACAGACATACACACACACACACACAGGACACGCACAGAGACAGACATACACACACACACACACACAGAGGAGACACACACACACACATAGGAGACACACACACACACACAGAGGAGACACACACACACACATAGGAGACACACACACACACACACAGGACACGCACAGAGACAGACATACACACACACACACACACACTCACAGGACACACACAGAGACAGACATACACACACACACACACACACTCACAGGACACACACAGAGACAGACATACACACACACACACACACTCACAGGACACGCACAGAGACAGGCACACACACACACACACTCACAGGACACGCACAGAGACAGACATACACACACACACACTCACAGGACACGCACAGAGACAGACACACACACACACACAGGACACGCACAGAGACAGACATACACACACACACACACAGGACACGCACAGAGACAGACATACACACACACACACACAGAGGAGACACACACCCACACACACACACAGAGGAGACACACCCACACACACACACAGAGGAGACACACACACACACACACACACACACACACACACACACACACACACACACACACACACACACACACACACACACACACACACACACACACACACACACACACACACACACACACACACACACACACACACACACACACACACACACACACACACACACACACACACACACACACACACACACACACACACACACACACACACACACACACACACACACACACACACACACACACACACACACCTGAGGACAGGAAGTAGTGCTGGGAGTCTCCGTGGATTCCCACAGTTCCAGGTCCTGCAGAATCTGCCAAAATGTTGACCACAGAGAACGCTCCACTCATGAACCCGAAACCCAGACCTGAGACTGGAGAGAGAGAGAGTCAGGAGAGAGACCCTACTGTGGAGAGAGAGAGAGACCCTACTGTGGAGAGAGAGAGAGACCCTACTGTGGAGAGAGAGAGAGAGTCAGGAAAGAGACCCTACTGTGGAGAGAGAGAGAGACCCTACTGTGGAGAGAGAGAGAGACCCTACTGTGGAGAGAGAGAGAGACCCTACTGTGGAGAGAGAGAGATACCCTACTGTGGAGAGAGAGAGAGAGTCAGGAAAGAGACCCTACTGTGGAGAGAGAGAGAGACCCTACTGTGGAGAGAGAGAGAGACCCTACTGTGGAGAGAGAGAGAGAGAGTCAGGAAAGAGACCCTACTGTGGAGAGAGAGAGAGACCCTACTGTGGAGAGAGAGTCAGTCAGGAGAGAGACCCTACTGTGGAGAGAGAGAGAGACCCTACTGTGGGAGAGAGAGAGAGAGTCAGGAGAGAGAGACCCTACTGTGGAGAGAGAGAGAGACCCTACTGTGGAGAGAGAGTCAGTCAGGAGAGAGACCCTACTGTGGAGAGAGAGAGAGAGTCAGGAGAGAGACCCTACTGTGGAGAGAGAGAGAGACCCTACTGTGGAGAGAGAGAGAGAGTCAGGAGAGAGACCCTACTGTGGAGAGAGAGAGAGTCAGGAGAGAGACCTTACTGTGGAGAGAGAGAGAGTCAGGAGAGAGACCCTACTGTGGAGAGAGACAGTCAGGAGAGAGACCCTACTGTGGAGAAAGAGACCCTGAGAGAGAGCGTTACCATAGAGACAGAGAGAGACCCTACTGAGAGAGCATTACCATAGAGACAGAGGAGAGAGACCCTACTGAGGAGAAAGAGTCAGGAGAGAGACCCTACTGTGGAGAGAGAGAGAGAGAGTCAGGAGAGAAACCCTACTGTGGAGAGAGAGAGTCAGGAGAGAGACCGTACTGAGGAGAGAGAGACCCTGAGAGAGCGTTACCATAGAGACAGAGGAGAGAGACCCTACTGAGAGAGCGTTACCATAGAGACAGAGGAGAGAGACCCTACTGAGAGAGAGCGTTACCATAGAGACAGAGGAGAGAAACCCTACTGAGAGAGAGCGTTACCATAGAGACAGAGGAGAGAGACCCAACTGAGAGAGAGCGTTACCATAGAGACAGAGGAGAGAGACCCTACTGAGAGAGAGCGTTACCATAGAGACAGAGGAGAGAGACCCTACTGAGAGAGAGCGTTACCATAGAGACAGAGGAGAGAGACCCTACTGAGAGAGAGCGTTACCATAGAGACAGAGAGAGAGAGACCCTACTGAGAGAGAGCGTTACCATAGAGACAGAGGAGAGAGACCCTACTGAGAGAGAGCGTTACCATAGAGACAGAGGAGAGAGACCCTACTGAGAGAGAGCGTTACCATAGAGACAGAGGAGAGAAACCCTACTGAGAGAGAGCGTTACCATAGAGACAGAGGAAAGAGACCCTACTGAGAGAGAGCGTTACCATAGAGACAGAGGAGAGAGACCCTACTGAGAGAGAGCGTTACCATAGAGACAGAGGAAAGAGACCCTACTGAGAGAGAGCGTTACCATAGAGACAGAGGAGAGAGACCCTACTGAGAGAGAGCGTTACCATAGAGACAGAGGAAAGAGACCCTACTGAGAGAGAGCGTTACCATAGAGACAGAGGAAAGAGACCCTACTGAGAGAGAGCGTTACCATAGAGACAGAGGAGAGAAACCCTACTGAGAGAGAGAGAGAAGGGAATCTGAGGCTCATGATGACCCACAAGCAGCGTTTCCGTCGAATTGTTATTCACGCGGGTGGTAATGACGTTCGGCGGAAACAGTCCGAGGTGTTGAAGCTGCAAGTCGCCGCCGTGTGCAAGCTGGCTAGCACAATGGCCGACACTGTCATCTTCTCTGGGCCCCTACCTAGCACTAGCAGTGCAGAAGCATTCAGCAGACACTCGGCTTTCAACCGCTGGCTGTCTGGCTGGTGCCCTCGAAGTGGTGTTGTTCATGTTGACAATTGGAGTGCCTTTTGGGGAAAGCCCGGTCTCATCCGCTCGGATGATATCCACCCAACGTTGGCGGGTACATCCCTTTTGGCTAAGAATTTGGCCCTGGCTCTAAACTGTTCTGCTCGGCTCAAATGACGGTGCAGAACTGAGGCCCGGGTGCAGAGCTGCTCTGCCACAACCTCTGAGCCCCCATCTGTTCAGTTACTAGCCTCAGAAGCTAGTCAGATTAAAACTGTGTGTGCATGTGTGTGTGTGCCTGTGTGTGCTCAGTTACTAGCCTCAGAAGCTAGTCAGATTGAAACTGTGTGTGTTCCCCGCTTGAAGTCTAAAGCACTATATGAGGAAATCTGACCTAGGTGTCAGACACAGTAACTTAATAAAAGTTCAGGCAGACAGAAATAGTTCTAGCGGTAGGGTTGTTAAATGTGGTTTAATGAACGTCAGATCAATCTCGTCTAAATCGCTTCTCATAAACGAACTTATTATAGACAAGGGCTTGGATCTGTTTGCGCTCTCGGAGACTTGGCTCCAACAGGACGACTACGTTAGATTGAATGAGTGCACTCCTCCGACGCATGTTAACTACCAGAAAGCCAGAACTACAGGTCGCGGCGGTGGTGTTGCGATTATATCACACACCAACTTAGTTCTTAGTCCCAAAACCAACAACGCTTTTCACTCGTTTGAAAACTTAACACTTTCAATCACCTGTCCTGGGTGGAGAAAACAAAAAGCAGTACTATTTATAGTTTTATACCGACCTCCTGGTCCTTACAGCGAGTTCCTAACAGAATTCTCTGACTTCATTTCAAACCTAGTTTTGGAATGGGAAAACATAGTTATAGCTGGAGACTTCAATATACATGTGGACGACAGCACTGACAGCTTAAACAAAGCTTTCAGCGCCGTACTAGATGGTGTTGGTTTTACTCAGAATGTCGAGGAACCTACTCACATTCATAACCACACCTTGGACCTTGTCCTGACCTACGGCTGTGATGTCTCCAATGTTGACATCCAGCGTCAAAGCTCGTTGCTGTCTGACCATTTCTTGATCACGTTTGATCTCGCTTTGGAGGACTTTCCTGTCCCGCAAGATAAAACCATAATGAAAAGAACCTTAAATGATAAATCTATCACAAGGTTCAAAGAACTAATACAGCCTATGTTGAATACTGCTGCAGGTGAACCTGTTCACAGCAGCTGCAGTCCCTCAGTCATTGACCAAACGGTGGGCAACACTATGGAGTCTTTAAAATCTGCATTAAATGCAGCAGCTCCTTTAAAACAGAAAACCATTAGGATTAGATCATCGTCGCCCTGGTACAGTGTTCAACTCCACACTTTAAAACAGGACGTCAGAAAATTGGAGAGGCTATATCGCCACTCCCACTCGGAGCCTGTCCACAGGGAGTGGAAAGCAGGTCTCCGAAACTACAAGAAGGCCCTTCGCAGGGCTCGAACTCAATACTATTCAACTTTAATAGAAGCGAATAAAAACAACAGTAGATTTTTGTTTGGTACCGTCGCTAAACTCACAAACCGCCATAGCACAATCGAGCCTAAAATTCCAAGCTCACTGAGCAGTGTCGACTTTCTCCACTTCTTTAATAATAAAATGACATCCATCCGTGACAAGCTGGAGGAGGTTGCTCCTGCTGTTAGTGGTGGACAGGTTGAAGCGGCATACGTGACTTCCCACTTAGACTCTTCAGTGGGCCTCGATAAATTCATGGCTGTGAGCCAAACAGAGGTGATCTCTGTGGTCACATCCTCAAAAGCCTCAACTTGCATGTTAGACGCAGTCCCAACATGGCTCTTCAAAGACATACTTCCTTTGATAATTGAGCCTATCGTAAATATAATAAACGCATCCATACAATGTGGCTATGTCCCACAAGCTTTTAAAACCGCGGTAATCAAACCCCTTCTGAAGAAAACAAACCTGGACCCAGAAATACTTACAAACTACAGACCGATCTCAAACCTCACTTTTATATCTAAAATCCTGGAAAAACTTATAGCTGAGCAGCTCCGCTGCCACCTGCAGGAAAATAATATGTTTGAAGTCTTTCAATCAGGATTCAGAGCTCATCATAGACTGAAACGGCTCTAGTCAAAGTCACAAATGACTTACTACTAGCTGCCGATAATGGACAAGTGTCAGTGCTGGTCCTACTGGACCTTAGTGCTGCATTTGACACAATAGACCACAGCATTCTACTGCAGAGGCTAGAATGTGATATAGGTCTTAGAGGAACAGCCCTTGGCTGGTTTAAATCCTATTTATCAGATCGATATCACTTCGTCAATGTGAATCAGGACTCGTCGCCTTATTCTGGAGTGGAATTCGGTGTGCCGCAGGGTTCGGTACTCGGACCCATTCTTTTTACTCTCTACATGCTGCCACTGGGAAACATTATTAAAAAGCATGGAATTAATTTCCACTGCTATGCAGATGACACACAGCTTTATCTGTCGATGAAGCCTAATCAGACAGATCAGCTAGAAAAGCTCAGTGCCTGCATAAAGGACCTTAAAATGTGGATGACTCTTAACTTCCTACTTCTCAACCCGGAGAAGACAGAAGTGATCCTACTCGGTCCGAAGCGCCTGCGTGACTCCCTCACTAACCAGATAATTACTCTGATAATGTCAGTATTATACCCAGTAACACTGTGAGGAATCTTGGAGTCATTTTTGACCAAGAACTCTCCTTCAAGGCTTATATAAGCCAAGCAACTAAAACGGCGTACTTCCACTTACGGAACATCGCTAAAATTAGGAATTTCCTTCCTAAAAGTGACGCGGAAAAACTCATTCACGCGTTTGTCACCTCAAGGCTCGACTACTGTAACGCTTTACTGGCAGCGTGCCCTAAAGCCTCTTTGAAGAGCTTCCAGCTCGTTCAGAATACAGCAGCTAGGATCTTAACAGGTACCAAAAGGAGGGAGCACATAACTCCGGTGTTAAAATCACTCCACTGGCTCCTGTGGAGTACAGAATAAAGTT